ATCTCTGTTAGACTATAGCAGATTCAACCTATATCTCTGTTATACTATAACACATTCAACCTACGAGTATATCTTGTTATAACACATTCAACCTATATCTCTGCTATACTATAACACATTCAACCCATATCTCTGTTATACTGCAGCAAATTCAACCTATATCTCTGTTATACTATATAGCACATTCAACCTATATTTCTGTTATACTATAACACATTCAACCAATATCTCTGTTATATTAAAGCACATTCAACTTTTATCTCTGTTATACTATAACACATGAACCCATTTCTCTGTTATACTATAACATTCAACCTATATCTCTAAAATACTATAACACATTCAACCTATATCTGTTATACTATAGCACATTCAACCTATGTCTCTGTTATACTATAACACATTCAACCCATATCTCTGTTATACTATAACACATTCAACCTATATCTCTGTTATAACATATTCAACCTATATCTGTTATAACACATTCAACCTATATCTCTGTTATAACACATTTATTTTCCTGTTACACAGAGGTGACTTTGCTCCAACCTGTGGCCCCTACAATGCCACGTTGCGGCCTCCACGCAGTGCACATTCTGATTCACTTGCTCACACAATACACTGAGTATATCCCCACAAGTCCCCCCTCTCCCTGCCAGGCTGCCTCCTGTTGTTCCAGACAAGCCAGGCAAATGTCAAACACCCACACCCATGCCACAAGAGGTGGAGATGCATCACGCCTAACCCATTCAAGTATTGCTCACATTCTCTAAGACCTTATTTCTAGTGGTGTTACATAAATCCAACTGACTTTAAAATAAATACATAATTTAGAAGAAAAAAAACAAGAAAGAAGTGAGCAAAGCTCACATACCCCCGTTATCCCCGCTGGTCAACAATAAATAGTGAATAGTCTGGTAATTAATGAAATATTATATATTTCTAACTGATTTTAACTTCAATGTTTTAAAAACTAAGATTAAGTTCCAGTGACAATTGACCCCCCCCCCACCAATCCCCCATGTTACCAGTGTTCACTACGAGGAAGTAGATCATCATGAACACCTTTGAATAAAAATTTGATTGAGGAGTTACATAAGAAGGATTATTAAAAGGACCAAAAATTGTTGATATAAAAACACATAAAAAGTGGAACAATATCATATAAGAAAATCAATAAATTAATAATTTCCCCCTAGCCTTAACAGATATGGTAAAGAATTCATAAATTCAAACTAACACAAAGCACAGATACTTATGATGATCTACATGTGTGGAAACAATTTTGGAAAATATATTAGCTATACAAAACCAGTCATCAAAATTTCTAAATTCCATCATCTTTCCATGAAAACAGCAAAAGAGAAAACTTTCAGAATCTTATAAAAGATAAAAAACAATCATAGCGGTTAAATGTAGCATGTTTGCTGAAGCTAGGATACATAATATTGTAAACATGGATCGTACAAAAACTCTACCCAAAGTTTATGTTTCACCATGATTCTATGGAAACTGTTTCCATGGAAACAGCAAAAATCAAAAAGTTCAGAATCTTCAAACTAGCAAAAGGCACAAGTACTCATTGTGGTAAATGTGTGTAGCAAGTTTGGTGAAGCTAGGGTGCATGGTTAAAAAGTTATGGGCCGTACAAAAGCTCGGACGGAAGGACGGAAGGACGGGCGGAAGGACTGACGAACGGAACGCTATATACCCCCGATTTACTCCGTAAATGGGGGTATAATTAATGACTTTTGAGAACATTTTGGGAGGTGATTGTTTCAGAATCATATTAAATTTTCTTGGTCACTGTCACTGTGCCTGTCATCTTCCCGAAGCAAGGGCCTCCACTAGCCTTTATAGCAAAGTCTTGTTTCCACCCTTGCCACATCAAGCCCACTTTCCTGTGATAAATATGATTGGACTATCCCACGTATCGATAGTCAATCAGAGCTCGTTTTACAAAATCAACATCCACGACTGGTACACCTTCATATGAAAGTGATTTACTTCTGAAATATGTCTTTTTCATCTTTTAAACCCCCCCCCCCCCCGACAATTGCCTACGTTTTTGTGTCAGGGATGTGATCGTACATCTTTTCGTTGTCTGATCAACTTGGTTGTCGCCTATGGTAGTCACCATTTTTGTGAAGCTATACGAGATAAGAACAGCGATCTGTTTGGATATCACGTTTTCATCACAAGGGGCACAATGCGAGGTGGCGCCAGGGTCAAGCCAAGGAAAGATGCCTTGATGTGGCAAGGGTAGAAAGTAGGCTTTGATATAGGCTAGTGGACACGCTGGCCTCAGGAAGATGTAGAAACTAGGCTTTGATATGGGCTAGTGGACACACTGGCCTCGGGAAGATGTAGAAACAAGTATTTGTCACAGAAGGGACGAAATGTCCCCCGCCTGTATATACACCAAAATACCAAATATGAAGACAATCCAGCGATTAGTTCTTGAGATATCGCAGCAACACCGTTTTCCAACTCCAAAAGCAGATTTGCCTGCTGTGACCTTGAAAATAGGGTCAAGGTCACCAAAACCGACTGGTGTCTGCGGTGTCTGTATATACACCATAGTTCCAAATATTAAGACAATCCTGCGATTAGTTCTTGAGATATCGCGGCAACACCGTTTTCCAACTCCAAAAGCAGATTTACCTGCTGTGACCTTGAAAATGGGGTCAAGGTCACCAAAACCGACTGGCGTCTGCGGTGTCTGTATATACACCATAGTTCCAAATATGAAGACAATCCAGTGTTTAGTTCTTGAGATATCGCGGCAACAAACAGGTGGGACGTACGGACGGACGTACGGACGGACGTACGGACGGTCGTGAATACTATATCCCCCGCTTCGCGCTTCGCGCGGCGGGGGACAACTAGGCTTTGATATAGGCTAGTGGACACGCTGGCCTCGGGAAGATGTAGAAACTAGGCTTTGATATAGGCTAGTGGACACGCTGGCCTCGGGAAGATGTAGAAACTAGGCTTTGATATAGGCTAGTGGACGCACTGGCCTCGGGAAGATGTAGAAACTAGGCTTTGATATAGGCTAGTGGACACGCTGGCCTCAGGAAGATGTAGAAACTAGGCTTTGATATAGGCTAGTGGACACGCTGGCCTCGGGAAGATGTAGAAACTAGGCTTTGATATAGGCTAGTGGACACACTGGCCTCGGGAAGATGTAGAAACTAGGCATTGATATAGGCTAGTGGACACGCTGGCCTCAGGCAGATGTAGAAACTAGGCTTTGATATAGGTTAGTGGACACGCTGGCCTCGGGAAGATGTAGAAACTAGGCTTTGATATAGACTAGTGGACACGCTGGCCTCGGGAAGATGTAGAAACTAGGCTTTGATAGAAAAACAGCTTTCTCGAGCTTAACTGCACTCGTTTCAACCTGGCGACTTCCATTTCAGACTATGCTTGAAAAATATGTTGACACAGTCCTCAATTAAAATTTTGAAAACTGAACAAACTAACATTCAGGAATGTCTAATATTCATGGTTGCGATTTTATGGCAGTGCTTCCCACGTACTGTGCAACGCCTCCCCTGTTCAAATGTTCATCCCACGCAAGCAAGAGATAGACAATAATTTTGACGGAATCAGTCATACGGGCCGTAAATCCCCAGTGTTAACGTTTTTGAGATTGCATGATTAGAAAACACATTGTCACTTTCATGATCTGGTAAGCCACGCTTTGATTGGTTTGGTGAAAGGTCGTTTTGACGTGACCCGTGATGGAATGCCCTCAGATCTTTGTTTAGCGATAGCGAGAACTAAGATCAGAATTTTAATGAGATTGCATATTCCAGCTATTTGGTGAAAGTCTGTAAATAATTGAATCCAGACAATCCAGTGATTGGGTTATGATGATACACGATTAACCTGATCGGTTCAGCCGTATCTTATGATTTGTTTGTTTGTTTGTTTGTTTGTTTGTTTGTTGTTTAAAGCCGCACTCAGCAATATTTCAGCAATATTTCAGCTATATGACGGCAGAACCACTCAGTCCAGTGATTGACATCATGAACATCGATCTAGGCAATTGGGACACGATGACAAGCATAAACCAAGTCAGCGAGCCTGACCACCCGATCCCATTAGTCCCCCCTTACAAGCATAGTCGCTTTTACAGCAAGCATGGTTTGCTGAGACCTGTTCTACCCCAGATCTTCACGGGATTGTGTTTCTTTTGACCAGGATAGGCAGTCTGTTGACCTATTCTTACCTGGAATCCTATAAGGGAATAAACTAACGACTGACAAACTCAGATTATACAGTTATATATAGCGCAGGTATCCAGGTAAAATTATCTGCACAATTGTGGTTTTATGTGTTCCCCGACCAGTGGATAAGTGTTGATTCCAGTTATCATTCTCAACTCCCTGGGGAGTATACAACCCAACCTGCCAACAGGGGCAAGTTTTTTTTAATTTCAACCTCACATATCAGGTACCCATTCCCTGCTGTGTGAACAGAAACACATTTGAACTACATCACTTGCCCAGGGTGACACCGCGCGTTTTGACACTTGTGTTTCGGGTGTCTGTACGTATTCGTGTTTCATCTACCATTGGACGAGTGGGTTCTTTTGAGTGCACAGGGTGTATGTATTGTAAACTAGGGGTAGTGACAACACTGTAAGGACATGTAAACATTGTTGGGCCCAAGGCTGAATAACAACCCGGTCACAAGCGGGATACGATCTCAGCACCTGGGTCCTTCTAGCCTGTCACTTTTGACCGCTTGCCCACTCCAACCCCTACAAAAGAACACACACATGCATGCATGTTGATATATGTGTAAAATAATCTTGACTACGACCCCATTTGTAACTCAATGGTCTCAAAATGTAAAAGCCCAATAGAATTCCTCAAATCAAATACAGTTTGTGACGAAAAGGGATCAGATGACAAAAACACCAAATTGGTCAAAACGGCACCAGGCATCTTTGACAAAACAACCTATATAACAGACTTTCCTACCTGTTTTATATTAGCTCCCTGCCGTCCAATCACTGAACCAACAGCTGCTCGGGGGACTTTAACCTCGATAACGGTTTGACGTGATGTGGTAACTTTGGATGCAGAGAGCAGATCATCATCATCTGAAACAAACAACATCATGTGAAACACACATCACTTCATCTAAAACAAACAAACAAAATTATCCGATTCAAACATCATTTCATCTGAAACAAACAAACATCATCTGAAACAAACATCACTTCATCTGAAACAAACATTATCTGACATAAATAACCTTTATCTGAAAAAAACCACACAACGTTTCCCAACAACAACAATATCATTGACTGAAACAAATAATATAATCACTCAAAGACAACAATTGAAAAAACATTATTGCTTAAAGCACTACCTCAGAATATAGTTATTTTAAGTGGTGAGCTTTGGACCAGTTGAGCTAAGCTCACACAGGGAGTTATCGTGGATCTAAAATTAAGTGCCTGTGGCAAGCAAACTGGAGAAAGTAATACATTGTCTACAATATATATGGATCTTTTTAAGTCCTTATTTTCATCAATTTAGAAATATTTTAATAACTGCAGTTATGTAAAACTAAGAATAATCAACTAGTTTTGTATATTACATCAGCATTGTTAAAAAAACCCGCCTGCCGGACTGACAAAGCTTGTCGATGTCTACGTCTAACTGAGTGACCTTGACCTTCAACATCATCCAATCACAGGCAAGAATATTACTGTATAGGATAAACCTGGAAATACCTCCAGTCATGAGGAATGACCTTCAAAAATGACCCTTGACATTGACACAATAACGACTTATAACAACGGCTGAGTTAGTTAAAATTCACCATAACTGATTGCAAAAACTCAATCTTTTAATTAATTAATATAGAGTGACTAACAGCAGCCGAATTGTGAAACTGTTAATTCCTAATTAGGACTTTTTACTGTGCTGTAGACCTTGGCAGTTGTGATCCTTGGGCACGCCAGAAACCTATGATTGTGGGTTCGAATCCCGGTTCGCCCCAATTATGTTTCTAGGTTTGTCAGCACCATATCCGTGTTCGTGGTTTCACCGAAGAGGTAAACGTCTGAGACTTGCATCACTTCGGGCTTTCCTCCCACATTAAGCTGACACGCCTTGATATAACTGGAATAATGTTAAAAGCGGCGTTAAACCCAACTCACTCACTCACTCCCCCCTACGGACTCCCTCTGCCCAGCTTACCGTCGTCTCCGTGGTTCAGCAGCCAGTAAAGCAGGACAAAGGTGGTGGGGACGGCGAGGAACAAGGCGATTTTTCCTGCAGTGGTCAGCTCCAGCATCGCTAACACTGCAGCATCGGAAGGCAGCGGGTGTGGGTGTGGCTAGTAGGGTCAGCTCCTCTCGCTTCTCGAAACATCCTGGAACACACGAAACAACAAACATATCAAACAATGGAGTTGCTGAGATTACACCCTTAACTAACTGATCCTTACCAAACATCCTGGAACACATGATACACCAAACATATCAAACAATGGAGTTGCCGAGATTACACCCTTAACAAACTGATTCTTACAAAACAGACCCTTGCAAGATGGACCCTGACCAAACAGGCCCTTGCAAGATGCATCCTTACCAAACAAACCCTTACTAGATGGATCCTTACCAAACAGACCCTTGCTACATGGATCCTTACCAAACAGACCCTTGCTTGATGGACCCTTACCAAACAGACCCTTGCTAGATGGATACTTACCAAACAGACCCTTGCTTGATGGATCCTTACCAAACAGAACCTTGCTACATGGATTCTTACCAAACAGAACCTTGCTACATGGATTCTTACCAAAGAGACCCTTGCTATATGGATCCTTATCAAACAGACCCTTGCTAGATGGACCCTTACCAAACAGACCCTTACTAGATGGATCCTTACCAAACAGACCCTTGCAAGATAGATCCTTACCAAACAGCTTCATGCTAGATGGATCCTTACCAAACAGACCCTTGCTAGATGGATCCTTACCAAACAGAACCTTGCGAGATGCATCCTTACCAAACAGCTTCATGCTAGATGTACCCTTACCAAACAGACCCTTGCTAGATGGACCCTTACCAAACAGACCCTTGCTAGATGGATCATTATCAAACAGACCCTTGCAAGATGGATCCTTACCAAACAGACCCTTGCTAGATGGATCCTTATCAAACAGACCCTTGCAAGATGGATCCTTACCAAACAGCTTCATGCCAGATGGATCCCTACCAAACAGACCCTTGCTAGATGGATCCTTACCAAACAGAAACTTGCAAGATAGATCCTTACCAAACAGACCCTTGCTACATGGATCCTTACCAAACAGACCCTTCCTAGATAGACCATTACCAAACAGACCCTTGCTAGATGGATCCTTACCAAACAGACCCTTGCTGGAAAGATCCTTACCAAACAGACCCTTGCTAGATGGACCATTACCAAACAGACCCTTGCTAGATGGACCATTACCAAACAGACCCTTGCTAGATGGATCCTTACCAAACAGACCCATGCTTGATGGATCCTTACCAAACAGGCCCTTACTTGATGGATCCTTACCAAACAGACCCTTACTTGATGGATCCTTACCAAACAGACCCTTGCTAGATGGACCATTACCAAACAGACCCTTGCTAGATGGACCATTACCAAACAGACCCTTGCTAGATAGTAAGCGGAGTAATTTGATCAGATGGTCAGTGAGTTAACTGATTGGCTATCTTTGTTCCTGTGTGGTGTGGTTTGCCTGACTTGATTTTTTCTTGTATTGTATGGGAACAAAGTGTATCGCATCAACGGATGAGCAATGATAATCAAACTATTTGTTATCAACTGTTCTCGTCATCCAGTAATGTTACTTTCAATCATTGACAAAGAATTTTAGGATATAAAGTGTTTTAATACTTTTTTCTTTTAATTAGCAATATGGTTCTGATATCAATTAAATTACTTCTGAAAGTAAATAATGAGACAGAAACTGATCTCATCAGAAATCGTCATCAGACATACAACTATGTGTGTAAGTTACCTTCTTAATAAAAAGGGGACCCGTGAAGATCCGGGGTAGAATAGGTCTTCAGCAACCCATACTTGCCGTAAGAGGTGACTATGTTTGTCGTAAGAGGCGACTAACGGGATCGGGTGGTCAGGCTCGCTGACTTGGTTGATACATGCCATCGATCACAATTGCGTGGATCGATGCTCATGGATTGTCTGGTCCAGATTCGATTATTTACAGACCGCCATCATATAGCTGGAATATTGCTGAGTGCGGCGTTTAACAACAAATCAACCAACCAACTTATCAAAAGGGTAAGACTACAACAAGAACCAGTCCTTCCATGAATCTTAAGTATCTTAATGAATAAACTGAAAATCAAAAGTAACAGTGATTTTAAATCTTTCTTATTATTTAATTTAATCATAATTATGATGATATTGTTTGTTTGTTCGTTTGTTGTTTAACGCCGCACTCAGCAATATTCCAGCTATATGACGGCGGTCTGTAAATAAACGAATCTGGACCAGACAATCCAGTGATTGGCATCATGAGCTTTGACCCATAAGCATGGTCGTCTTTTGCAGCAAGTATGGGTTGCTGAAGACCTATTCTACCCCGGACCTTCACGGGTCTGATGATACTGACTAAATGGATTTCAGGATTAATCAATATTTAATCTGTGCACAAACAACACCTAACTTGACTAAATCTTTAAAAAGCCAATGAGTCTACTTTCAGCCCATAAACATCAGCACACTTTTAAACGCCTTAGTGTGTTTTGAGATAGATGCTTCCGAAAAAACACAAGATGATAAAAACAAGAATAAAATCAGTTACTTTATTTTTCTGTACACATCTATATGATTTTAGTGTAAAATATACTTTTGTGTACTCGACTATAATGATCGAGGTAATCAAAAGATTCATATTTGTAAAAAAATCAAAACATTAATTCTGTTTTTTCAAATGCCCCCATTTTTTAAGACTCCCATATCAGGTTTCTGTTACAACACCAATCAAAAGATGAAAGGGTTTATAAAGAGGGTGCTCCAGCCTTGTTAGAGACCAGATGGTGGCGCAATCTTCAAGGGGCAACACTCTCAGCTCTTCTCTTGTTTTATGCCATCAAATTACATGATATCGAAGGGAAAAAACACACATTTCTGGCAGGGAACATAGATACAGGTTCTATTTACTCAAATTCCTGGCTGAAGTCACATTGCTCTCACAGGATATCCCAAAATACAAGGAGCAGACGTCAAGCATCCAAGATGGCCGACCCTTGAACGTCTAGAGGAAGCCATGATTGTGAATTACTGCATTGGGCATGTTTGTCATGAGTAGGGCTGTTACGATTCACTCGCGTATTCGGTGAATCGAACTCTTTCCATTCATGAATTGAATTCGTCATTCGTTGCCATTAGAATCGAATATTTATGAATAGGCAAATATGTGCATTTACATACTCTGTACCTAAAATATCCATAGTGAGTGAGTGAGTGAGTTGGGTTTAACGTTGCTTTAAACAGTATTCCAGTTACATCGCGGTGTGTCAGCTTAATGTGGGAGGAAAGCCCGAAGTGATGCAGGTCTCACACGTTTACCACTTCGGTGAAACCCACGAGCACGGGTATGGTGCTGACAAACCTAGAAACATAATTGGGGTGAACCGGGATTCGAACCCACAATCATAGGTTTCTGGCATGCCCAGGGGACGCAACTCTGCACAGCGAATCGCAGCGCCTTAGACCACTGGGCCACCCGTGCCCCCTAAAATATCCATAAGAACATATGATATGTATAGATTTCTTCAAAGACAACACTCTTATAATATTTAATTTAACAGTATTGGGGTCATTGTAGCATTTGAGCAGATACTAGAACCTGTATAAATGCAGTATATAAATGTATAATATATTTATAATTAACAAACCATGTCAAAAAATTTATGTTAAAGTTTCACTGAATATTACAAATAATACATCGACTGCTGACTTGTTATTGTATTTGTGAATTAATATTTGTATTCTTTACCCCATATTCGTGATACGAATCGTATTCACCTCATAGTGTATTCGTTGCAGACCTAGTCATGAGTATTGTCAAAATAATACATAATCATACATGTTATGTCTATATGTCTGTGGAACTAAAATGTCAACAATGAAACCAACTTCTTGATTTAATTTGTTTATTAAGTTTCAAATATGTCATTCTGATGTGCCGTAGGCACAGACCACCACCTGTATTGGATGGCTGTGTAATGTTGGCTGTGTCTTGGATTAAAGTTCACACCTTATTTGCATGATCAGTGAGCTATGTTTGTTTGTTTGTTTGTTTGTTTGTTTGTTTGTTGGTTGGTTGTATAATGCCGTTATTCCAACCCAGAAAACCTGTTGGTCATGATATGAATAAAAGGGGGAAGAGAGGTGCTCAAAATGTAAAATCGCTGTGGAGAAGGAAAAACTCCCAGTACAAACAAAATCTCCCTTACACTCACTCACTCACTCATTCTGCCATCCACTCACTCACCATACACTCACAAACCCACCACAGACAGAGGTAGAGAAGAGAGTCCATGTGTGGAAGATTACAGTGGAGCAACTCCCAGGACAAATTCACACAATCTCCTTACACCCACTCACTCACCACCCACTCACTCACTCACTCACTCACCACCCACTCACTCACCACCCACTCACTCACCCACTCACTCACTCACTCATTCACCGCCCACTCACTCACTCACTCACCACCCACTCACTCACCACTCACTCACTCACTCACTCACCACCCACTCACTCACTGACTCACTCACCACCCACTCACTCACTCACCACCCACTCACTCACCACCCACTCACTCACTCACTCACCACCCACTCACTCTCCACCCACTCACTCACTCACTCACCCACCACCCACTCACTCACCACCCACTCACTCTCCACCCACTCATTCACTCACTCACTCACTCACTCATTCATCGCCCACTCACTCACTCACTCACCACCCACTCACTCACCACTCACTCACCACCCACTAACTCACTCACTCACCACCCACTCACTCACCACCCACTCACTCACTCACTCACCACCAACTCACTCACTCACTCACTCACCACCCACTCACTCACCCACCACCCACTCACTCTCCACCCACTCACTCACTCACTCACTCACCCACCACCCACTCACTCACCACCCACTCACTCTCCACCCACTCATTCACTCACTCACTCACTCACCCACTCACTCACCACCCACTCACTCACTCACCACCCACTCACTCACTCACTCACTCACTCACCACCACCCACTCACTCACCACCCACTCACTCACTCACCCACCACCCGCTCACTCACCACCCACTCACTCACTCACCACCCACTCACTCACTCACTCACTCACTCACCACCCACTCACCACCCACTCACTCACTCACCACCCACTCACTCACTCACCACCCACTCACTCACTCACCCACCACCCGCTCGCTCACTTACTCACCACCCACTCACTCGCTCACTCACCACCCACTCGCTCACTCACCAACCACCCGCTCGCTCACTCACCACCCACTCACTCACCACCCAATCACTCACTCACCACCCACTCACCACCCACTCACTCACTCACCACCCACTCACTCACTTACTCACCACCCACTCACTCACTCACCGCCAACCCACTCACCCAACCCCCACTCACTCATCGCACTCACTCACTCACCACCCACCCACTCACCCCCTCACTCACCGCCCACCCAATCACCCACCCCCCACTCATTTACCGCCCACCCACTCATCCACCACCCATTCACTCACCGCCCACCCACTCATCCACCACCAACTCACTCAGTCACCCCTTCACTCACTCACCCACTGCCCACTCACTCACCCACCACCCACTCACTCACTCACTCACTCACCCACCGCCCACCCACTGCCCACCCACTTACTCACCCTATGCCAACCAACTCACCCACCGCCTATCCACACACTCACACACCCACCACCCACCCACTCACTCACTCACCTACCGCCCACCCACTAACTCACTCACCCACCGCCCACCCACACACTCACCCACCACCCACTCACTCACTCACTGCCCACCCACTAACTTACTCACCCACCGCCCACTCACTCACCCACCGCCCACTCACTCACTCACTCTCACCCACCACCCACTCACTCACTCACTCAC